CTTGAATAGGCCGAGACTTATCATCGACGGGAACTTTTTCGATTGCATCCAATGTTGTGTCTGAGCCGTCAATAACTCTTGGAAATTTGCACATTATAAATAATTTGACCAAAATATTTAAAAAAATAAACCGGTTGTATATTAGATATGCATACTTTCCAAATACAGTATACTTTGTATCAAGGTGAGGTAACTTGGCGTATGTAATAAAAAACTGAGATCCATTTGTATCAGGACCACTGTTGGCCATGGAAACAATCCCTCGTGCGTTATGCTGAGAACAAATCGTAGAGCTTCCAGTAATTTTAAAAATATAACACGCTTAAATATAGACAGCATATGAATGATATAATCACCTTTAGCGATGACTTAATTTCATCGGCAAATTTCCTTCCCCAAATTGAATTGCCACCTTTACCCGTACCCGTTGGATCGCCGGTCTTACGTTCATTAGGGCAAGATAAAGTCAATAATTAGACCAATATTTTTAAATGTTCGACGACGCAATTGAATTACCTGAACCATAAATCCTTTTATATTTCTAACATTAATTTAAATTTAAACCAAATAATAATAGAATTAACATTTTATAAACTTCATTAATTTTACAAATTTGAACCTTTCACGTACCTGTGAAACAAATTATTATCATAATATCCACTCGCACAGAGTGCTAAAAAATTCTATTTAAAAAATTTTTTATTAACAAGAATGAAAACAAGAAATATACAATTTTGTGTTTAAGAATTATTAAATAATATAAACCTCTGCCGTTTTAGGAACTGCTTCACAAAAAACTTCAATCTTGAGATCACCCAAATCTGTATGTAGAGTAACAGACTACATGTTTAATTAAGATAACTGTTTAGAAGTTTAATTATTCAGAGTAAGAGCGTTCTTTCAGTTCTAACCATTGTTTCATGAAAAAAAAAAATTTTCCTTCCCGATGCGTCAAAAGACTGATGAGGATGATTTTATATCTTTTATGGTGTCACAAATGTCACAAAGCAACAGCCCAAAATTGTACTACATAGAAATTATTGCCAGACCTATTATGAATTCTGGGTACAGTGTTACTCTAGCGTTTTTCATTCTCACCACTTTATGTATTCAAGTCCTTCAGTGTTCCTTAAGTAGATTGTCTTTTTTTTTTAAAAAAAAAAAAAAAGAAAAAAAATCTGCGGTGAACATTTGGGCTCAAAATTGAGCCCTTGAAAAAGTGTAAATGGAAAAAACAAATTTAAGTGATTTATTTTATTACATCAAGCCACAAGGTAAAGTAAATTCAATTTTTGAAAATACCAATTGTTTAAAGCGTTCTAATGTTACATACCTTTATAGAACAAGAAGTTCAGAATTCGCTTTCACAAGGAACAGCTAGTGACTTAAGCGAAACTTCAAATCCAAGTTTAAGTGACTTTGACTTAACAGCTACTTACAAACGATTCGCTAAACCGTATAAAGAAGACGGGGAAAAATTAGACCCTACATATTTTCATTATATTAATAAACTTCCAGGTGATTTTTAAGAATAAGAAAAAAAGTTCATATTCATGATCAAATAGTTACAAAAGATCATAATTTTTTTTGAACTTATATTGGATAGGAAAAGTGAAGATAATCCCAGATAAAAGTCTCAGAAAGCTCACCAAAAATAATAGAAAATGGGGTGAAAAATACCCACCAGAAAAATATCCGCTAGATGCGAAAACTATCGAACATAATATGTTGAACTTACTTAAACCGGGGCAAATCCCAGGAGTAAGTATATTGACATTATTTTTCTAGACAGGGAATTTTGATTACAGACAATTATTCAAAACAAATTTGATGGATATGTATGATTAGTTTAATCCGGCAGAATTTGGGTTGGACGATGAGAAAAAATCATATTCAACGTCATATTCAACTTCAACACATAATAATAATAATAATCGTTCAACCAAAAGTAGCACCAATAGTAATTTAGAACAGGGTATGCATATTCAAACAATATGTTTATTTTTGGTCTTATAAATAATTTTGAAAAAAAAAATAAATATTTAAAAATATAAAAATTTATTATGATAATGCTGTAATAGCATCCAACACAGCAGCTTTGGATGGTGATGATCGTCCACACGAGAAGAAAAAAGTACGATAATTTGGTTTATTATTGTTACACAATCATTAACATATCTTGAAACTAAAAAAAACATAATGAAACAGAAAAAGAAGCATAAACATGACAGTGATTATGATTCGGAGAAAAAACGAAAACATAAAAAAAGTTCAGCAGATGGAGAATATAAAAAGAAAAAGCGAAAAAAAGTTGGTATTGACAATGCGGCTTTTATGAATAATTCCTTGAGTACGACCGCATAATTAATCAATAAATAATCACATAGGAGAAGGAAAGGTATAATTAAGATCAACGCTTTTCTAGGTTTGTTCATGAAAGATTTTACATTGATTTCTCAAATCTTATTAACAACAGGTAATAATAGAATCATAATGTATTCATAGGAAACACGCGAAGCGTCTTATCCATTTTATTTTGGTTATCAATGTCAAAAGACATACTTTTTTTCTTTTTATTTTTGTACATATACATTTTTTTTTTTTTTTAATTTTAGTAATAATTTAGATTATAATTATATAATAAAAAAAAAAAATAAAAAATTTCAAAAATTACATGCTATTGGAAAATTGTATTTATTGTACCGTGCAATTATTGTTCTTACCATCTAAAAATTCGACCAATTGTAAATTTTGTGCAACATAATAATCATGTTCTATTGCTAACTCTTCTTCAACAATACCCGGATGAAAACGTTGCAATTCATAAAAAAGTAAATAACCATGCCGACTGAAATCACTAAAAAGTAAAGTCATGTCCTGTAATGTGTTAAACTCCTTTACTTGTTCGCCTATATAATATATTAAATATGAAATTATTAGTATCGTTAAATTTATAATAATCATAAATTGTCATAAATTAGTCATATTTTAAACATTCTAACCATCTAAATCATCAAGTCTATACCATTGTCCTTGTTCCTATGACAAAAAATAATAATATGTTGGTGTTAGCTCTCTTTATTATAGTATTTACAGTAATTATTACAGAATTCTATAGGCAATTATTACAGTAATTATTATAATATTTAATTATTATATAGTAATTAACAATAATTATTACGGTAATTATAATTATTACAATAATTATTGATAGTAATTACAATAAATTCGTTAAAATTTTTACGTACATCGTCCAATGCATAACCTTTATAATGTCCGCTTGTGGGTGTCTCACCGTAATGACAAACAACTGATCGTAGCTTTAAACGATATTGAGTGTCAACTCCACAGTGACATTGATCGTCAGCCGCATCCGGACTTATAAATGGATTAAAATTGATTGACGCCGGGATATATATTTTTTTCTTTATTCGAAATGATTGCATTTGGTCGTTGTAACCATATCTCTTCAGTACTAACGGTAGAATCAAATTGTTGGCTGGGAAATGTGACTCAACTGCATTCGTCTTTTCACCTATATAAACAAGTTGTTTGTTTAGAAACTTGAACAATCTATCAAAATATAAACCGCGACAAAATTTATAATTACCTTGTTCATTACTTGCTGAGTAAAACGGTAAAAGCTTTAGCACTTGCCATGCTGAAACTGGAATTTCGGTTTGTTCACTATCATCCACTGAAAACCGCTTTATTCCAGACACAACACTATCATGAAAATGAGTTACTAAAACTTCTTCCAGAGAAACAGGCGTTTCATCATGTGGATCTCCTGGTATAGCTACTTGAATTAAACGTTCAGTTATAACTCTCTCATCATTTGGGTCTTTACTTCCTCCATGGAATAAATGAATCTCAAGTGGAAGATATGGAAGTTCATAAAGGCATGATAGAAATAAGAATAATTCACTAGCATCTTCTTGCGTTGGATTTTCGCTTTCATCTTTACCGATCCAGCCGCAATCAAACATACTTTCTCGTAATTGCTATCAATATTAATAACGTCACCTTTTAAACTTTTATTTTATTTTTATTATTATTATTATTATTAATTACGTATTTGTTCTCTAATTTTTTACCTTAACCATGTGTGCATTTATATGTTTCCCAGTTCGAAGCCGATTTACGAATAATCGTAAATGCGTCTGCAAACTTCGTACATTTCTTCCTTCTTGCTGAATAAAAAGCATACCATCAAAAGCTCGCGTTCTCGCAAACATAGCAAACATCAAACTGTCTGTAATTATATTATTTATATATATATATAATAATTTCAATAGTTTAAATTTGTATAATATAATTTAGCGTTTCACTCATTACCTATATAACAGCTAGTAAATCGATCGTTTTCGGAACCTAGCATTATCACGTCCTTTTGAATATCCAATACTAAACCTTCTTCTGCTTCTACTAAATCTTTACAATAGTCAGCTACTTCCATCACATTCCAAGAATTTCTCACCAGTAAATTTTCTAGTTGTAGAGTTTCCAAAGGATGTCCTAATTCCTCTAAATATGTACGTAATTGATCTATTTTACTTTCTTGCTCTGAGACCGTTAATTCGACAAGTTGGGTTGAATCTTTTCCAGAATTAGGAAATAAGTAATAATTAATGCTGTCCTTAATTCTACTTACTGGTGACCGTGTACGTTTTAAAGGAGACTTTCTCCCTTCAATATTTGGTTCGGAAACTTCCATGATAAGATAAAAACTAGTGAATGGAAATTTTAAAATCTTTCATTATATACTTATTTCTGATTAATTACGTACTACGTACTAGTTTTTCTTGTTTAGGCTTAATTTGGTGGGTTTTTTATGTAAAAAACAAGTTTTAAATAGATTGCCTTCAAAAGGGTAATTAAAAACTGTTTTTGTTTGTTATTGCAGTAGATTTTCAAGTCGATTTCAAGTTCGTAATTTATACGTATAAAAATCTCTAAATGCATACTTTTCTTTCTTTTTTTTATCATATTTGATTTACTATCGCTATAAATATCTTTACAATTTTATTTTTTACGCCGGTGACACAGGCTGTCCCGCGGTGTAAAAAATTCAGCTTTTTTGCACACATACCGATACAGTATTTTTAAATTTCATATGCGCTACTAAAATATAAAAATAAAATTGGCGCATATTAATAGAAAATTTCATATATTACTGTAATTTATATATAGAGAATTTTTTGTTGAATAAATGTATGTATCGCACCTGCAACACATTTAATATATCGCACTTCATAAGAACAAGTGTAACGTGAAATCAAAAAAAAACGTTTTAATTAGAGTTAGAGCAGGTTCAATTTAGGGTTAGGGTTAGAGCAGAGTATAGTTTATATCAAAATTTTGTTAGGAATTTTTTTTATTAGAACACGAAAGGCAAAATTTTGAGATTTTTTTAAACATTTATTGTAAAACATACTTGTAATAGTTTTGCATCTATTTTATTATGTTTATTATTATTATTATTATTATTAAGACTACTTCCTTGGCTAATTAGTTTGTTGTTATGGAGCTATCATATGAATAGTCTTCTAAAGTTTAACAGTTACATAATGAGTGTATAACAAGCTATACATACAACTTTAGTCACTAGTTAAAAAAGTAAAATTCGACTTTTAATCAGAGGTTGAATTTCAAATTTTTGGTTAAATTCAGATCAAATCAACCAAAAAATTCAACTTATAATCAATCTATAATCGATTTAAAAACTACTAATCAGTTTAAGATCAGTATCTGATTTTAGATTGAATAGTTAATTTTAAAATTTGATTTAAAATCAGACTCTGAATTTAGATCAAATTTTATACATACTTAACCTAAAATCAATTTCAAAATTTAGAAGTTGATTTTAGATCAAATATATATAAAATTTGATCTAAATTTGAAGTCTAATTTTAGATCAAATTTTAAAATTAACTATTTAACCTAAAATTAGCTACTAATTTTAAGCTGATTAGTAGTTTTTAGATTAATTGTAGGTTGATTATAAGTTGAATTTTTTGGTTGATTTGATTTGAATTTGACCAAAAATTTGAAATTCAACTTCTGATTAGAGATTGAATTTCACTTTTTTAACTAGTAAATCATTGTCTAATTTAAGTAGTCTGCTATATAGATGATTGACTATCTGTTAGTTCTATACTATACTATCATATCTGCAACTTGTCTGTAAGTTATCTATTTAAATACTCTGATTATTAACTTTTCCTTTTATCTTAAACTAATATCATCATTATATCTGACTACTTAAGCTAGTTGACTTATATGCAAATCTATTTATTACACACTTGCTTAATATATTATAAGCATTCAGAGCTCTAGTTAATCTTGAAAGTAATTCCTACTAGAGTAGTTATGTGCTCATTTCACAGATTCATCTGAATTAGATCTTTGTTAATATTTGTATAAATCTAGTTTTTGCTATAGCTTTCTACCAAATATAGTTCTCTAAGTTCTAGTCAGATATTTCATAAGGTAGATCCTCTTAATCTAGTTAGCTACTAATAGTGTAAAAAATTTAATATTGAAATTAGATACAATTTGCATATCTAATTTCAATATTATATATACTTTGTACTTCTATTAATAGTATTTTAAAAATTACGTGAGTTTAGTATATATCAATTTGAAAATTTTACAAAAATTTCTATACAGGATATACACTTATATATATTTTTATAGTGCATAAAATAAAGATTAGATATTCTATAGAATAGATAGACAATATAAGAAATCAGTATCACTAATGATTAGTAATCATTAATTTTTATTATATTTAGTAGAGTTTAGCAGAGTTTACCTACTTATTCTATAGAATATCTTAAAGATTATATACAGAGCATACATATGCATATTGAATTTTTTTCATTAGCTACCAAGCCAAGTTGGTATTGCTACTAATACAAGATATCAGATTGTATTATATAATAAACTTACTAATATTTATTTGATCTATATTCTTCATACTCAGATTTTTTACTTGATCAAATATTAACTAGCTTAACTATTAAAATCTGTACTACTTTATCAAACTTAGAATTTTACCATGCAGATCCTCTGCCTGTAGATTTTATCAAGATTTATTTATGCAACATAACTTGAATATTGCATTACACTTCTAATATCTAATTGACATTAGTGCAATATAATTTACAGAGTTATAACTCTCAGAATTTACTATAAGTTGAGTGCAAAAGTTTAGGTAATTATTTAAATTTGTTGATAATGAGATTTGAACTCTAGATCTCTTATATAGTAGTTTGACAACTTAATCACTATACTAAAATTACTAAATCATTATATTATATTTTTTAGATTTTTATTTTATTATTTTTTATTTTTTTTTTACTTGATAAATATGCTATCAGCAAGATTTTTATTAGTATAGATAGTTTTGAGTAATAATTATATATATAAGAGTATAACTAGTTATACGTACAACTTTAGATTGTCTAATTTAAATAGTTCACTCAAAGGTTCTACACTAGCTACTATATCTGAAATTTATTTGAAAATTTCCTATTTAAACTCTCTGGCTATATGTCATTCCTATCCTGCTATTATTTATTACCTAAATTCATCTAACCCCATACTACTTCTATTTTCAGAAGACATTAACAGAGCTGATATGAATCTACAAACTTATAATTCAAAGTCTAGGCCTATTTCAGGTACCTCTTCACAAACTTCCTAATCAATAGGTACTATGGTACTCATATATTCTACACTATATTCCAATCTAGCTTGCATATACCTTTGTTTGATATTCGTACAAACCTAGTTCTTACTATAGCTTTCTACTGAGTTAGTCATCTGTGCCTCCAGATATCATATGAGATAGACCCTCTCAAATCTGGTTGCTACTCAGATTGGTATTGCTAAAAGTCATCTGTGCTTCTAGATATCACACAGAACAGATTCTTCCAAATTTAGTTAGCTGCTAAGCCAAGTTGGTATTGCCATATAACCTCATATAATAGACTTATATGCATCCATTCTGCTAATTTTTTCATATGCAGGTTTTCTAACAGACTTACTCACATTCTAGTTGCTAATCTTTTTGTATGCAGATTTTCTTTCTCAAATCAAACGTTAACTAGTATGATTGTTGAAATCTGTACTATTTTATCTAACTTAAGATTTCTACTATGCAGGTCTTCAGCTTATAGATCCTATCAAGATTTATTTGTGTAATGTTATACTCTTCCAAATACTCTGTTATACTTCTAATATTCTAATTGGCATTAGTATAATGTAATTTACAGAGTTATAATTCCAGAAACGAGCAGAGTTTACTATAAGTTAGATACAGATATCTAGATAATTATTTAATTCTGTCAACAGTAAGATTTGAACTCTAGACCTCTTGTATAGCAGTCTGGTAACCTAACTACTACACTAAGATTACCAGACCTTTGCCTTTAACTTTAATAAACCTTAGTTGAATTGATTTACTTATACTTGCTTTTTTAATTGCCAGCAAGACATTACTATTCTTAGACTTGAACTATTCACATATTTTCTTATATCTTAGACAATTTTTAATTGCTACTATCACATATATGCTATCTGTTTGAATTTCTATTTTGCACTTGCTAGATGCTAATAGAATTACAACTAAACATGCAGTTAACTAGGTTGTAATATATATATATTACAACCTAGTTACATTAAATTGTTACTTAGTTATGAGTAAAGTATTGCCTAGTTATAAGTAAGATATTATCTAGTTTCTGTTTTTGGCACTTTGTGACCTTTTGGGAGCTGTCTTAGTTATCTTGTTTACTTTGCTTTGGATGCTAGTTTGAAGACTGTTTTGGCTTTTTTATTTGCTCTACTTGAGTGCTAGTTTGGAGACTGTTTTGATTATCTTATTTACTCTGCTTTGAGTGTTGATTTAGAGATCGTCTTTGGTATCGAGAGTCTGGATCTCAAGCCTGCCTTAGATACAATTTGGATGCTAGCTTGAATTACATCATAGATCCTGATTTGGGAACTGGCTTAGGTGAAGAGAAGCTCACATCATGAATCCTGTTTTGGATATCAGAATTAAAAAATTAGAATCTATGTTCTAGCCTGCATAGTCTCTTTAGATGCAATCAGTTGCAAGGCACAAAATGCTGAATTTGCAATCTATCTACTTGCCAGATATTTCACAATTCATTTGCTATCTTTTAATTACCAGGTGAGGTATATACGAAGTACGATTTTTGCAATCTTATTTTTTATGATCCCTTTAGTTACCAAAGATAAGGTACAAAGTGCTGAATTAGTAATCCAGATGCACAATCCTGCCTTTTATGACCCTTTTGATTGCTTAAGTTGTATTATCTTTGCTATTCTGCCTTTTATGAGCCTTTTGATTACTAAGGTTGGTAAGACGCCAAGTTGTAACTTTTTCTTTTCTTTTCTATATATAATTCTAACTTGGCATTCTACTTTTTTATTTTGAAGATTTGGAAAATTTTATGTAAATTTATAATAGTTTCTTCTATATACTATTATGTTGCTTGCATAAAAAAACCCCAGGCCTGATCCTAGCAAAATAAATGAAGCTATAAGGCTCTTCTTCTCAGGGTTAGTAAACCTTGATTATGAGCCTAGTTATAATGATCATATATATTTTCAATATTTGTCTAATAGTAAAGATGATATCGCTCTTCTAGATATCTATCATTCTGAGAAAATTTTTGATAAATATATTATTCAGGTAGCAGAAAAGAGTTTCACTATAGTTGATCATCTGTTTGAAATTTATAGAATTTCTAATACTCATGAGTGTATTGATGGGAATTTGCACTTTCACCTCGTTTTTGATATCGATATAAGACAGTACCCCCAATTCTACAAATTCTGAACTTCCTTCCTTAGATAAATATAAAATTTCTCACAAATATTTATTATCCAGAATCTTAATTACCTGTGCTGATATTCTATACTTTGATTTAAAATATTTTGTAACTTTAAATGCTTTTACTTTAGCCAGTTCGTCTAATGCTAACAAATGTAGTTGGCATATTATATATAATTATGCATATTTTATTGACTATAGAGATCTTAGAGGTTTTGTAGAAAAAGTTGTGGATAAAGTTGGGAAGCTATACTCAGAATTTATTGATATAGGATTTTATAAGTCTCATTTCAGTCTTCAGCTCCTTGGATCAGCTAAAGAAGATAGAGTTAAAAGACCTGCAATTTCTTCAGTTAAACAAGGATATTGCAAGCTAGAAGATTATTTAGTTCAACCTAAGTTAGATGCTTCTGAAATCTGGCCCTGAACTTTTTCTTCTGAAAAATCAGAAAAAAAAGAGTTCTAACTCATCGAAGATGAAACTGTTTTAAACAAAGAAGCTAGCTTAGTTATCACAAAATATGAATGGCTTGAGATCAGAAAAGCTGAAAAAGTGTTTATTATCTTTTATACCAAATCATTTACAGAATGCTCTATTTGCAATATCAAGAATAAAAGGAATCAGTTGTATGACTTTTTCTGAAAAGATGAATGTTTTATACTCAAATGCTATTAGCAAAAATAATACAAACCTGATCATAAGGGATTAGCATTTGGAAAAGTAACTAAAATTTCTGCAAAACCTAAGTAAGGAATAGTCGAAAGAATAGCTGATATTATATCAAATCCACACCCTCTTGTAGAATTATCAGAGATAGCTATTAATATAGAAAAATTAAAAGATGCTTCTGAAGTATATTCTAATTTCTTGAGTACTGAGAAAATGACAACTCTTATTTGTTTTCCTCTGAGAACATGAAAAACTACTATGTTAAGAGAGATTATTATAGCATTAAAAGATAAAGTATATGATATTTCTTCTTTGTCATGCTTTATTTGATCTCTTACTGAAAGTTTTTTAGCAATGAATCAAAAGTGAAATTTGATGAGTTGGAGGCATCAGGTTTTTAAATTTGCAACTACCAAAATATGCAAGGAGACTTATCTATAAATAAGTAGGACATTATCATAGTACAAGTTAAAAGTCTTTTCTATGTTGAATTTACAGCCTGTCCCTTTGTAGCTATTCTTGATAAGGTCAATGCCATTATATGCCAAATGTCTAGCATTACAAATATATGAGAATCTGAAAATGCAATGTGTAATGTCTTTAGATCTGCAAGACATATTTTTGGCATAGATGCCTTTGTGAATGAATCAATATTAGCATTCCTTAAAGCATATCATGCTAAAAATATTTACATAATTAATAATAAATACTAGCTTCATGTGAGTAAGACAGTTAAAATTCTTTATGATCTGAGTAGTAGAGTTGAAGCTATAAGAATAGGTTATGAGTTTTTAAGACAAGGTAAACATGTAGCATTTGTATCTACTGAAGAGGTGATGACTAGAGTGTTAGTAGAAAAAGCGTCTAAGTTATTTAAACCTAATAATTTGCCTATTAGAGCCTGTACATACTATGGGGATATGGATAGAAAATAGAGACAAAAAGACTTTTCTAATATTAATAATGCCTAGGACGAACTTGACTATATAGCCTATACAAATACTGTAGAAGCAGGAATATCATTCGAAGTTACAGGCTACTTCAATATAGTTATAGCTATTATAAACATCGCCACTTCTGTTCATATTGAGGCTCTTGCACAAATACTTTATCAAATTCATGACTGTCCTCATCGTATTATTTCTATATTTTATCAGAAAAATTCTAATGAGCTTTTTCATCTACTAGGTCATAAAAATATTTGAGTAAAACTTGAAAGTACTCGACCTAATAATTTACCTACAGCAATAAAAAGACATCATGAATAGAATAATAATACTATTTCTTATAAAGTTAATGAGTCTCCAGCTATAATAACATTCATTGAAGTTGAGTATCAAAAACACCTTTTTGCAAGATATTTTATTGAGAAGCTTTGTAGTCTTATAGCCAGTACTGATGCTTCTCTTCAACTAATAAAAATGGATAAGAGTTGAGGAGTTATAGAGAACCATAAAAAAATCCTTAATAAGGTTAGAGTTGAAGCATTAGTTATCAAAGAAACAGATTTTAATGCAGTTGCTACTTCCTGGAATCTTGGTTCTGAAGAAGCTGAAAATCTTAAGTTTGATCAAGAATGCTCTATTCCAGATACTATGGCTCTTAAATGTTTTTATATACAAAATATTTATGGCTGTAAAAATATAAATACTGAAGATTGGGATAATCTTTGCAATAAGAAATTTGTAGAACATTTTAGTCTACCTAAACTTCGAAAATATTTTCTGCGCTTATCTCATTTCCAGAAGCAAGGTTGTAATAAAGATAGTGCAATAGAAGGTTTAGTTGCTAAAGACTTTGCACAGTGAGGAGATACCTGTTATAAAGCTGAAGAGAATTTAGAAAAATCAGTAACAGAGGACTTATATAAAAACTATTCAGCAAATCATTAGAAAGTAATACAAGAACTTTTTAAGATATTGGGCTTTATAGATATAGATGACAAGCGTATTCTTCCTTGTAATATTGTATCAGAAACATTTACACAATCCTATGAGAGATTTATAGAAATCCGAAATTAATCCTTATTACTCTTTAGTTTTAAATCTTATGCTAAAGCAATACTAAATCTTAATTCAGCTATAAAGGCAATCAATGCAATCGTTAGTAATTGGTGTGGCTATACAGTTAAAAGTAATTGAAAAAAATGGTCTCAAAGAATAGCATGTTTGGGAATATTCATACAAAATTAATTACCAGGCATATGATGGTCTTGGTTTTAAAGATAAAGGTGTACTAGAACTTCCACCATATAGGCTAAATACAGATAATGAGGTCCAGGAACTCTTTGATTCTAAAAGATAAGAAAAATCATTATTCAGCTAGGTGTCTCGATCATATCTGATTCTATTTTAACTTTTTTACCTTCATGCCAGGCTTTCTTATAAATTTCGCTATGTGAGCTACAGATTCTAGTATCAGAATATATTAGTTCATTACAGATAGAGCATATTGTTTTAGAATAGGCTTTATAATATTTAGCATATCCTAAATCACTCATACTCCTATTTCCACAAATCAAACTATCTCTCTTGATGTATTAGCAGGAAAAATGTTCTATACGAGATAATTTTTTAATATTAATAATCTCAAAACTTCATCTTCACTTTTATTATAAATATTCAAAAATATGATATCATATTTCTCAAGATATAATCAAAGAAATGCGTACTTAGTTCAAAGAACTGGAGTCATTATAGTGATAACCACCTCTCTAGCTCAGCCAGATAGAATATTTTTTGTCGAATTGAACTTTTTCTATATATGTATAACTAGGTAATAATTGTAATCTAGTTATTATTGACATAGCTATCGCAAAAACTGCTTTAAAGACCTAAAAACCTAAAACTAATAATTATGAGGGTATCTTGGATCAGTTCTTAAAAAAGTATAATTTGTCAGCTAACTCTACTCTAGAACAATTAAGCGAACATGTTTCTGAACTTAGTATACCACTTCTGAATTAGATAGCTTGTAAGTGTGTTAAAGTTGCTCTTGCTAAATGCAAATTTAGTAAAGAGCAAATAGGAGTTCTTGTGCCAGACAAAAGAAAAAAAAAGCTCACTATTGAAAAAAGAGCTCTCTATTATGTCAAAACTAGTAATAAGTAGGATATTTATATCTATGTTCTCGATTTAGGTCCAAAAAGTAATGACGAAATCATTGCCTCCTGTTCGCGACTCTCTCTATTTCGTAATAAATTGGCAAAAACTAGTATTGCTCAAGAACCTATTGATATTTATACTAAAATTCTAGATTTTACTACGGCTTCTAACAAAATTCAGAAAGAATAGACTGAACAAGATATAGGCAATAATTAGTTAAAAATTCCACTACATTTCTCCTTAGAAAAAGGACTTAAAAGAATTTAAAATATTGATACTACCAAAGATCTCTTATTACAGGATCTCGCAGATGTAATAGTAATGTTGTGTATAAGACCTGCTGAAGTATTCAGCCTTCAGATTGATTACTACGAAGTTGATTCATCTAATCCTTCAGCATGGTATAAAAATAGTTATTCTTGGTATTACATTGGATATGCTAAGAATAAAGAAGAAAATAAGAATAATTCAGAACCTCGCTCATTCCTATCAATGGAGAAGAATTCAGAACATGCATGAGCATTGCTTATCTGGATTCAAGAGACTATAAAGGCCAGAAAGTTAAGTGATCCTACCTTTAGTAAAAATGGAAAGCACAATACTAGGGTATTTAGCAAGTTTTTGAAACCTTATAAAATCATATTTAAAATATTAAGAAAAATAAGAGGAAAGCATGCCTGCAGAGTTCATAGTAGTCTAAACTCAACTCATTAGCATCTTGATCTTCTTAACAGAATAGCATTGAGGTATAAGATTGTTTGTCTAGATGCAGGAAAGAATTATGCTATAGGCGATACAGAATCAGAAGACTCTAACCTCGAATTCAAATTTAATCAAGTGCCTAGCCCAATCTCTGAATCTCAGGCCTTATCATTTCAACCTAAAAACAATAATTCTAATCCCTTCGAATCTCAAATAGCAGAAATTGATTTAATACTAGCTAGCTTCTAAAAAACTGCTATATTCTAAATCATGTCTTAGCTCTTTTGATAAAATAAATATATGAAGGTATTTTTATTTTTTAGATCAGATAAAGAAGTAGAACAGGTGCTTAAAGCAATAGCAATCTAGCTATCTTCAGCAAACCTTCACAATTTATTTTTTTTATCTAGTGAAGAAATCAGCTAAGATACGTGCGAGTAAAAATTTAGTAAATGAAATAAAAATGTCTTAGTCAGATAAAACAATACATTTAATATATAATGCATTCATACAACTCACTCTATATTCAAGATATTTTTGAGAAATAGACAAAAAATAGTTATACCCAATACATGTTAACTGAATATGGTTTAAACTATATCAATAATCTAAAAATACTAGAAGCTTAGTTACAATTTACGAATTATTGTCTACTCAAATATATACATGAATGTTTATTAATTCCTGAATATAAAATTAATAGTAAAAATCATTAAGAAAACTTCATATTCTATATCAAAAATAATTTGACTAGCTATAAGCAAATAGGTAATGATTCTAAATATAAAGATTTTAAAGTTCAACTAGCATACTTCTCAACTTTAACTAAAAAAATCAATCAGTAACTATAGAAGATGCACAAAATTAGTATTATGATACAATGTTACTTTAGGGGGTTTAACTCTTTTAGTTGCTCCTATAGGGCCTGTGAAGCAATAATCCAAAGAGCTTAGAGGCGTGGCTTTCTCACTTCGTAAGTCAAAATACCAATAAACTTAAAAATTGCCAGCAAAGATCAAGTGATCATCTCATACTAAATAATTAATGAATGAACAGATTGCCAAATCTGAAATTGGTTTTTATAATATATGTAAATTAAATTTTTTAGTTGCGAAAGTGAAAATATATAAAAATAAGCAAAGTATATGATTAATTGCAAATACTTATCTGACTATAGCCCTTAATAACATATACTTTAACAGTCTAGATCATGATCCCATTAGCAGAGCAGGAATCAGAGATTCTAAGTCACATGCATTTATGATATCATACGTATCTTGGATTAATGAATTGATTACCATAAAATAATATCTGTATTGTGTTTTTGCTCAAACTTTCTAGTATATTCTCAGTAGTATATGTAGTACTTGGTCTATATATCAAAGTTTCTATAATATAAGGAATGATATGTTAGTCTTTCTACTTTTACTAATAAAATAGAATAAATTTGTTAATGATCAATTATACATAACTTTACTGCTAAATATACTTGAAGTAGTAAAATTATATCTGATACTTAACCAAAAATTGAGTAGCATTATGAAAGTCAAATTCTAAATAAGATTACATATCGCCCTAATATTATTTCAGAAGTCAGTTATTAATTGTATAAAAATCTAAATATATATGTATATTGGTGGGATCTTAATGTAATGGTTAGCGTTGTAATTGTAAATATTTATCAGATATACTAGCTTTAGCATAAGCAACCCTTCAGCTAATAAATATCACTTATCTTACTTAACATTATTCAGACTGTGTATTTTTAAGTTTCTAGATCCAGGTTCCTATTCTCAAAATCAGAATTTACATTCATGTTTTTGATAATAAATTAATAATAACATGATAATAATGTAATTAATATTTTTTTTTCAGTATGTTCTAGCCTTTACTAACAGAGATAACAAATCAGATTCTAAGATGTAAAATCTTAATCTTGTATAAAAAGGATTCAAAAATCTTTAGTATACTCCTCTACTATTTTCTCTGTAATAATATCTCTAAAGAGGGCACGGCTAATAAAACAATAAGTCATTCTAGCCACTTTGTAATTGCCTTTAGTAATAAATTGTAATAACTAATAAAAAAATTAGGCATTTGCTAGCCTCTAGCTAATTCTCTCAAAACAAAACAACATACCTGTAATTTTTTTTGAAAATAAGATGTTAGTATTACAATAGTCTAATTAATTTGTTTATGCGTTACCTCTGTACTCGTATATCTATACTAATAATCTTTTTTCTTATTATAGATATCTTCAATTAATGTTTCAGAAATTGCACCATTTTTGGCCTTTGTGTTAATAATAATGTTCGCTGAGAAAATTCCTGTTCATCTGATTTTTGTTGCTATGTACTCTGTTATATATGTTATCAGACAGCAACTTACTGCAGAACTCACGCACGTATAGAAAGATTAATCGCGGATCTTATATCATGAGATGCCACAATTGTGGTCAAGAGACAGAGAATCCTGACAATAGTAAATACTGTGATTGAAACTATTAATGAAATCACTACTAATTATGAATTCCTTCATGACTAGTTGGACCAAATAACTGAGACAGGCTCTGTAGCCCTGTTGAGATCTGAACAATTTGCTAACCCATCTGTATCTTCCCTCCAAGGTACGTCCAATTCTTCCTAAAGATCATCTTCTGCTTCTTCTCTAGGTTCTTCTAGTGGCTCAAGCCAATTATTATTTTCTGATATTACCTCAACAACCAGAAATCACTTTAAAATTATTTTTGATATGATTATAACAGAAAACAATTATTCTTTAGATGATATGTATAATATGGTATCTGTTGAGATTCGTGGTTTTGGGATAGGAAAGATTAGTAAAGAAACTGTAAAAAATTTTTATTATAATAATGATGATTTTAGAGGTAGTACTTTAAATAAAATAGGTACTTGAATAGATAGCAAAAATAATAATAATTTAGCTAATAATACAGAGTAGCGGGAAGGAACTCTCATTTTATGAGTTAGGGCTTGAGAAATTCCTCCTTTTAAACGTCTGCTACTCTTAAGTTTTTACTTAACTCGCCCTAGCCCATTTTCATTCTTATAATAAAGTTATATTCTATTATTACTTGATTTTTAAATATGTCTGGTCATAAATTCGAAGTGAAACTTCATTGCTATACAATCAAAATTAAAAGTTATTATGATCTTTCAGTTTGAGGTCCATGTAGTACATATCATCAATACTACCTTACGGCTTATGCATAATTTATATAATTTATTTAAAACATGTATTGTACAACCTCTATAAGGTGCACGTATAATTTGTTTGTAAATTGATCATAAACATAACTGCCACACATTACAGGTTTGTATAATAAAAAATTTTTTAGCCACGTATATATTATTTTTTCTGTAATATATAATAATGAAAAATCCAAATAGCGATAATGCATTAACAAATAAAAAAAGACACAATTATATCGAAAAGTGGCATATCTTCAGAAGTTGGAAGCGCAGGTGTAAGGTTTGTGACGAATGCAATCACCATTCACACCTATATTGTAAGACCTGTAAAAAAGTAGCGAATGGCATATATAGGCGATGCGAATGTGATAATTTTTTAAGGGAAGAAG